GTAGAGTATGCAGCACCGGCTTGGAGCCCAACTTTAAAAAGCTCAAAAGAAAAATCGAAGGAGTAGTGAAGTGTTCTACAAGTCTCATACCTGCCTTTACCAGTCGAATAAAGGTTTAGAAGCAGGACTGAAAAGGTGAACCTCACCCCCCCCCCTCGAGTTAGTTCACCATCACACACACACACACACACACACACACACACACACACACACACACACACACACACACGACAGCCGGAATCTTGGCTAGGAAGAGCCCATCCCGCCCCGGATGGTTATACCCAAGTAGCGACATTTGCCAAGTGCTGCTGCCTCAGTTGCTTTTGTTATGTTAATATTTTTCTTGTAGAGTTCGGATCACCAGATGAAACAAATGTGAAGAACCACATGTAGCATCTGGCTTAGTGTGTTTATTTACGTGTTCAAGGTGGTAGGAGCACAACTGTTTGATCCTATAGTAAAGTGTGTTAGGGAGTCGGCGTTGGGTGGAGTGACATTGTGTCCTATCAGACTGCGGATGTGGAAGTTCTATTTGAATCAGTTAAAATTAGTTTATGTAGCATATTCTTACCATCTTGTACAAGTTCAACCAGTTCACAATACCCAACATAAACATTCCTTTGGGAATTTACACATGCCCAAGGGAATACACACATTCCCAAGGGAATACACACATGCCCAAGGGAATACACACATTCCCAAGGAAATGCACACATTCCCAAGGGAAACACACATTCCCAAGGAAATACACACATTCCCAAGGAAATACACACATTCCCAAGGAAATACACACATTCCCAAGGAAATACACACATTCCCAAGGGAATACACACATTCCCAAGGAAATACACACATTCCCAAGGGAATACACACATTCCCAAGGAAACACACACATTCCCAAGGAAATACACACATTCCCAAGGAAATACACACATTCCCAAGGGAATGCACACATTCCCAAGGAAATACACACATTCCTCTAACTACCTGATCTACGCGAGGATGGCAGGCGGCGACGTTATTACGGGCAATTCATGCCCGTGCCACCTTTTGGGTGGCTTAATCTTTATCATCGGCGACGTCAACACTACTCTCTGACCACCGACATTGAATGTAACCTTGACCTCAGTGAGGGGGGTGGACTCTTTAGTTTAATTAGTTTATTATGTACCTTATACTCATCCAGTGACCCGTGGATCCCATACCCATCCTGTGAGCAACTCATTCTCATACAAAATCAACAAATGGTCGATAACGCACATGTTAATAAATGAAAATACTTTACACACGAGGGCTATGCCTGATTACGCTCGAAGTCTTCTTAAGCAATGCTTCGCTCTCTTTCCTCCGTTCGAATCTCACCTCTTTAAATGCTTCAACTCACGCACTGAACACAGAAGTAATTGGTAACAGAACCAAAACACCTAATCTATCGTAGGCCGAACTATACAACAAATTACAATGTATAATAATATGCATTTATATTCGATAAAATATATTTTTGGCTACTAGCATGTTAAGACTGACGAATGCGTCTTTGGGGTCGGCCGCAGCTTGGACGAGCTTAGCCTGAGGATGGGTTGGGGGCGACCGCAACTTGGACGAGCACAGCCTGAGGATGGGTTGGGGTCGGCCGCAGCTTGGACGAGCACAGCCTGAGGATGGGTTGAGGGCGACCGCAGCTTGGACGAGCACAGCCTGAGGATGGGTTGAGGGCGACCGCAGCTTGGACGAGCACAGCCTGAGGATGGGTTGGGGTCGTCCGCAACTTGGACGAGCACAGCCTGAGGATGGGTTGAGGGCGACCGCAGCTTGGACGAGCACAGCCTGAGGATGGGTTAGGGTCGGCCGCAGCTTGGACGAGCACAGCCTGAGGATGGGTTAGGGTCGGCCGCAGCTTGGACGAGCACAGCCTGAGGATGGGTTAGGGTCGGCCGCAGCTTGGACGAGCACAGCCTGAGGATGGGTTAGGGTCGGCCGCAGCTTGGACGAGCACAGCCTGATGATGAGTTAGGGTGGGCCGCAGCTTGGACGAGCACAGCCTGAGGATGGGTTGGGGTCGGCCGCAGCTTGGACGAGCACAGCCTGAGGATGGGTTGGGGTCGTCCGCAACTTGGACGAGCATAGCGGCAGTTGGTTATTATGTTGGAAGATGTTATGACCTGCCCATCACACACTATCGGCCTCATTACCCATTCCACGCAGAAGAATTCAAATAGTAGCAGACCGTTTGATTCAAACTATTATGTTTCTTTTAGGAAAGTTTTATTGTTTTTACAAACAATGCAGTGCCGGTACTATGGATATATTTAATATTCCCGACAGCGATGCGCATAAACACAGGCACTGACTTATCATCATCTTGTATCCGTTGTTCACGATGTAGATACAGATACTTGTAGATCATAGCTAGGCTACATATACTCATAATTTCCAACAGGCGCGTCATCACGTCCTTCTCACGAGCACCAGGCGCTCGTCTCTACTGTCTCCTATCCTCAACACCATCACCAAACACCCACTAGTCTCAGGCACGTGACTGGCCCGTCTCACAGACGTATAGAACACCATCCCTGTCTTGCTGAAGCTATAAATGACAGGAATCTGATGCAATAATCCGCGTCCCGAAGCCAAGTGCTTTGTGCCTGCTGGGTCGAACGGATTTAATCTATACGTCGACAGTGGGGAAATGAGGATGAAGTAGGTGGGGGGGGGGACTGTAAACAAATTGGGCTTTGTGGCTATCACAGGAGAGGGATGGAGTGGTTGGGGAAGAGGGCTGTGCAGTGTTCCCGACCGTGATGTCATGTGAGGTGCCGCTGCAACTGCTATTTTTGTTGCAAAAGGTTTCTGGTGTTATTGGAGGATGCTACTGGTACTGTTTGAAGGTGCTGGCGAAGCTCATGGAAGGGGCAGCTGTTACTGATGGAAGGGTCACTTGCTCACATGATTTTCAATTGACTCCGTTTGAATTTTTCTTAAACGCATTTGGCCATTGTTTATGGGATCGGGCTGAGCACATTTTGGCCAAAAAATGCGAGACAGCTTCGAGAATCTGAGTATTCGTCGAATTAAAACCAACCAAGCATACACAAACGCGTAGACGAACGTATTAAAATAGTCTTTTTAGAGACAACGCAGAATTGCTTTGTTTAAAATTCGTAGTAGTATGATGCTTCATACCTGTTCCTGTATTAGAGTGCCGGTGTCCTCGTGATCAGCTGGGAAATCCATTACATACTTCCAAAATAATTTTAGTCGATATTACGCTGTTTTTGGCAAAGTGCCAAGAAACGCCAGCTGGCGCAAGTTGATGAGAAAACCTAGATAGCTTTAATCACCGGAGTAAAAATAAGACAGGAGGCACTTTTAGTATATTGAACCGTAAAGCCTACTATCAAACTGGAGAAATTTAACGGGTTTAGATAAAAAAAACTTTTCTCTTTATATATTGAGTAGGCTAAAAAAAAAAATAGCTTTAGCCTAATGTTGCCTAAACTTACTAAGGTAATGTTTATTAGTGACAATCAATAAATTTCAAACAGAATTCATGTAGAATTCAAACTGCAATTCAATTATAGCCTATAGCAACGGAATATTCATGCTGTGCTGAATTTAGTATGAAATCTTGACATGTTTATCTGGTGGACAAAACTAATATTTCCCACGAAATCGTAGAAGCCCATTCACACGCCCATTTATATTGGCACGTAACTTAAGTCTATTTATTCAAGGACAATAGATAATAATTGTACATATGTAGTTTTCCGTACATCAGTTATATGTACAACACATTTACGTGTACTGCACAGTTATATGTACATCACGGTGTTCAACACAATTATGTGTACAACACAGTTACGTGTACAACAGTTACGTGTACAACACAGATACGTGTACAACACAGATCCGTGTACAACACAGATACGCGTACATCACATACGTGTACAACACAGTTACGTGTATAACAGTTACGTGTACAACACAGATACGTGTACAACACAGATACGCGTACAACACATACGTGTACAACACAGTTACGTGTATAACAGTTACGTGTACAACACATACGTGTACAACAGTGACGTGTACAGTAAAGTTACGTATACAGCACAGCTACGTGTACAGTACAGTGACGTGCACTGTATAGATACGTGTACAGTACAGTGACATGTACAGTTGTTACGTGTACAACAGTGACGTGTACAGTATTCCAGTTACATGCACAGAATGTATAAATTGGTTCTCACTTTGGACACAGTACGATTGTGTATATATATATTCGTGCGTTGTTAGTCCTCTTGGCGACAGACAGTACGTGTTACCACAAGTCACAGCAGGTATTTTATTGCATTCGTAGTGTGATATTATTAGTTTTACAATTAATATTTTTTCCATATTATTTTTTGCTGTATTCAGATTTATATATCTATATTGATTCGTTTGTCACACTGAACACAATTAAAAAACCTGTTTATTTTTTATAGTGGTTGTAAGTCTATCTAAAACAATGGAGGAAAAACACATCTGGCCATTGGGAACGGAAGGACCGAACAAACTCACCCACGGATCGGCTTGGTTCCATACAGTTCGTTCGAGTGAGGTCGAGGTCGCACTGTAATGTATTAATAAGGGTGACGCGGCCTCACACCTCGCGTCCTCGACCTACTCTACTGCCTTCGACCCCATTCCTGATGCGTATCATAGTGCTTCTTGAGAAGGGATGAGGTGGAGAGTGAGGGAGGCTGACAGTGAGGGAGAGAGGCGGAGAGGGAGACAGAAAAGTGTGAGGTGGGAGGGAGGGTGAGAGCAAGATTGTTTGGCTATGGATAGAGTGGGGGAGTGAGTAAGAGAGGCGGAGAGTGAGGGAGAGAGGTGGAGAGTGAGGGAGGGAGAGAAAGAGTAAGGCGGGAGGGAGAGAGCAAGAGAGTTTGGCGAGAGAGAGTGGTGGTGGGGGAGGGGGGGAGTGAGGCAGAAGGGCGTGCGGGCGCGCCAGTGTCACTGGTGAAGTCGTCAGGGAAGGCGCGCGTCAGTGTAGCTGTGAGGAGTGAGGACACGTGTTGTGTTAGTGAGAGTGAGTGCGGACGTCTACGGTCACCTGCCAGCGGCAGCTTGGCGGCGGAGGGCAGCACCAGTAGTTGAGTGCAGCGAGGACACCTGTGGTCGCCGCCTGACTGCGCGAGGCGCGGGGCAAGCCTCAACTTCTCTGGGTGTTGGTTGGGCGCCGGTGTTTACATGATGACGGTGGCGGAGGCGGAGTTGGTGCGGCGGGCGGCGGAGAAAGGACGGAGCGCCTCATTTTGCGCGCCGTCCCCGCCGCTAGCCGCCCTCCAGTCCGCTCACTCCTCCTTTGATATACACATGGACGTCCGGGCGCACGCTGCGGCCTTCGCCCAGGCCCAGCAACAGGCGTCGTCCAGCCCGAGGTCCAGGCTCAAGGCGACGCAAGCGGCACGGCGCTCACAGTCATGCCGCGTCCAGGGCTCCAGACCGCCCCGCATGCGGCGTCAGGAGTCCCCGCGCGGCTCGGAACCCAGACTGGAATTAGACGCAGACGCTAGTTCCGCCTTTGTCTGTTCCACGCCTGAAGACGCCTCCTATAACCCCTTCCTTCGTAAGGTTCCCTCCTGCGGCCGCCTGGTGACGTTGACACCTGACGGTGGCGGCAGCGGAGAGGATGCAGAAGGTTCACCTGTTCTACGTCGGTCAGCTTCCGCACGCCGCCCACGGCCGCACACAGCCTCGTCGCCTGGCCACTCCCCCACGCCCACTCGGGCGACCCGTCCACCTCAGAAGAATCGTGCCACCGTCAAGAGGACGCCGGCCAACGCCAACAACAGCGCCCGACGCTCTGGAACCAGCAGCGTCGGCGGCAGCAGCGGCGGCAGTGGGTTCCTTGACGTGAAGCCCTCTGGTTCCAACGAGGGACTCGACCCCGACTCCTATCTGCTGAGGAACTTCTCTACTACCACTAAAGGTCAGTCCCTCAGTACTAGGACCATGCTAGTGACTCTCACAACACGAGCACCCTGGTGGCAACACTCCTTCACAACAGTAGTACTTGTAGCAACACATAATAATAGCTCTTGTAGCAACACAATAATATCACTGGTAGTAACACACAATACCGGCACTGGTAATAGCGCTACTTTACGACACCAGCACCGATAGCAACACTTGAAATACCAGCACTGTAGCAACATTCCCTCACATAATTGGTAGCCACACTCGCAGTATCTGCAATGGTAGCAACACACTAACAACACCAGCAATGGTAACAACACACTAACAACACCAGCAATGGTAACAACACACTAACACCTGCAATGGTAGCAACACACTAACAACACCAGCAATGGTAGCAACACACTAAGAACACAAGCAGTGGTAGCAACACACTAACAACACCAGCAATAGTAGCAACACACTAACAAAACCAGCAATGATAACAACACACTAACACCTGCAATGGTAGCAACACACTAACAACGCCAGCAATGGTAATAACACTAACAACAGCAATGGTAGCAACACTAATAACACAAGCAATGGTAGCAACACACTAACAATACCAGCAACGGCAGCAACACACTAACAACACCAGCAATAGTAGTAACAGACTAACAACGCCAGCAATGATAGCAACACACTAACAACACCAGCCATAGTAGTAACAGACTAACAACACCAGCAATGGTAGCAACACAATAACAACACCAGCCATAGTAGTAACAGACTAACAACACCAGCAATGGTAGCAACACACTAACAACACCAGCCATAGTAGTAACAGACTAACAACACCAGCAATGGTAGCAACACACTAACAACACCAGCCATAGTAGTAACAGACTAACAACACCAGCAATGGTAGCAACACACTAACAACACCAGCCATAGTAGTAACAGACTAACAACACCAGCAATGGTAGCAACACACTAACAACACCAGCCATAGTAGTAACACCAGCACTGGCAACAATCCTTTCATACGAGTTAAAGCAAAACATACTCAAGCTGTGTTTGTTTAAGTTGGGACCATGCCCAAATTTGTTCCCGAGTGGGTATAATTAAAAACGACATATTTTCACATATATTAACTTAATAACATCCGATTTGATGGCTTTGTGCATAATTAAGACCCCCACATTAGGTATTTAGGTGGACAAAGCATTCGGACAGGTCTTCTTCGAACTGAAGTGAATGCAGCAATTTTAGATAAAATCTTGAACGTAATCACTTACAGACATTGTAAAGATAATATTGAAAAATACAAATGGGAGGAAGATGGGTGGGTTCAGGGGCGTTGCTAGAGTGAAGTGCCTTTGTTTAATGATTTAAGAACGAGTTGAGTGAAGTAATTAAAAACACAAGACAGTTTCGTGAATCGGAGATAGGTTTATTGCCGCGTGACATTTCGAATTAAACAAAATTCTTTATTTGGCTTGGAGGTAGTATATTAAATATTTAAATTCACTGGGGACAATGAGACAATGAGTCGTACATGCTCAACTCTCATTTTCCAATAGACACCTGAATAAAGATATTAAATCAAGAATATAGTAGTAGATTGCATATGTTTCCTTAAAAAAATATGGGTATAAAGTATGCTTAAAATGCTGATATAAACTGCACTGTGTTTGTACCCAGCCTCCTGTTTTGGTAGTACTTATAGTAACGATAAGGACCATAGTACATATACCGACGTTCAACGCAATTAGAAAGTAGAAATCGGGGATATTGAATTTGGACAGACTGGAAAAGATTTTATATTTATGTTGCAAAGACAAAATAACTAACCTAACCTGACCTTCCTAGGCTTTATATATGCTATATGAGGCCTAATATAGTACATATGGGTGCTATACAAGGTCTAGGGATATTTAAGTTTGTTGTTTAGCTACATTTTTTCGGATTCTATAAATTGAATAATATACAATTCTACTATCTAATAGCTTACTACGTAACCAATTTATACTATGTACGTAAGTGTTTTTACTATGGTGTGCAGTTACAAAAAGTACCATCTAAACTGGAGGATGGGTTGGATTGTAACACATCCTTGAGCTCTAGAAAGATATAATAAAACTTATTATGAACTTACTGAAACGATTGTGTATATGCAATATCTTCTTATTTTAACCTAAGTTTTATTTAGTGGTACATGTTTTCACCCGACAACGATACAAGCGACTAAACATGCACAGAACGCTATAATCTACGCAAATCGTGTTTGAAAGGTTAGTTTTTCCTTCGGATCCGTACCGCATATGAATATACGTTGTTAACATACGAATTAGTAAATTGGAATATAGAAGCGCTTTGTAAAAAAATAGGTTCAATTGGTTGGATCAGGCTTTGGACACAGGTTCGCTAGGCTACGTTAGCAGAAACTTCGGCCATAAGTATGGATGACGCTGCCAAGCTTTGTTAAATCAGAGCATTGAGAGATGTTAAGGGCTGCATTGTTCGCGACTGTCTCTATGGTTTGAATTTACAACATAATGTACGTTGTTTCTATAAATGTGTATTTGCTACTGCTTTAGTTCATAGCTCATGTTCAGACATGAATGTGTGTGTACTGCTAAATACTCTGGTTTGGTTCAGTAGGGGGGGGGGGTCATTCACCGCTCCTCACACTGGCCCACACACACTGGCTCACACTATGGTCCACACACACTGGCTCACACTATGGTCCACACACACTGGCTCACACTATGGTCCACACACACTGGCTCACACTATGGTCCACACACACTGGCTCACACGATGGTCCACACACACACTGGCTCACACCATGGTCCACACACACTGGCTCACACCATGGTCCACACACACTGGCTCACACTATGGTCCACACACAACCCTGGAAAACAGAAGAGTAAGGGGATACATGATAACCACCTACAAAATTCTCAGGGGAATTAACAGGGTGGACAAAGACAAACTCTTTAGCACGGGTGGAACACGAACAAGGGGACACAGGTGGAAACTTAGTACCCAGATGAGCCACAGAGACATTAGAAAGATTTTCTTCAGTGTCAGGGTAGTTAACAAATGGAATGCATTAAGTAGTGTTGTGGTGGCGGCTAACTCCGTACACAGTTTCAAATATAGATATGATAGAGCCCAATAGGCTCAGGAATCTGTACACCAGTTGATTGACAGTTGAGAGGCGGGACCAAAGAGCCAGAACTCAACCCCCGCAAACACAACTAGGCGAGTACACACTGACTCACACGATGGTCCACATAAATAGTCTAATCTACTCTAACCTTTTGAAATGTATCATATTGTCTCAATAACCGTAGGTGAACTTGAACACACACACACATGACAAAGAGTGCTGGGAAGACGGGACACCACGAGCGTAGCTCTCATCCTGTAACTACACTTAGGTAATTACTCACACACACACACACTGGCTTACTTGACGGCCCACGCATTGATTCATACTGTTCCATATAAGTGTTTCCCACAGTTTTATATATGGCTCACTTTTTCTGACGTCTCACTCCCAGGCGTGGTTCACTGAGCGCCCACACCACGCTACAGGTCTCATTTGAGCACTCACAACACCACATGTCACACTTGAGCGCCCCATAACACATCACATATAACACTTGAGAGCACGTCATATGTGATACTTTCACATATGAAAATATCACATGATATTTTGTGTCTCCCACACCACAGGTCAGACTCCAAGGTGTCTGAGCGTGTTCCATCTCCGCCTGCGTATCTGAGGCTGTTAAAACTAATGATTGATGCATTCAATAAATGGCCTTGACAAGTTAATTAAGCTTTTTTTATTGAAGGAGAATGAGGGAGAAAGGAATTTAATGTTTACATATTACAAGAAAACTGAAGTAAACTACGTTTCCTTATTAAATAGTAATGATGATAGGTCACCGGGCAGAATATAAACATCTTAAATAAAGCTACCGAGCTTCAAAGTGTAGTGGAGTTACACCGCTTGGCCAACCAGGGAGGAAGAATGTCTGAGGGGAAAGAAGGGGAGAGACGAGGGGGAAATGGGGGAGAAGCAGGCCACCTGCATTACGTCATAGCCACACCATCTTCCACCCGCGCTGATTGGCTGCCAAATAACTTGTGGGCTGCGGTACGAGACGTGCTATTGGCTGCTTCTCAATCCCTATGGTTGACGTTACCTGATTGGCTAGCCGTCGTGTGTTTTGTGGCACGTGTCACTGCCTAATTACTTACCTTACTGCCAGGTGGGCTTTTCATTACCAACGACGCCTTCCACATTACTTCACCGAGGTGTTGGTGTCGCGCTTAAAAATAGCCGACCCCCAGTGATCGACTCCAGACGCGGGAACTTGGCTCCTGCGCCCAGATGAAAATCACACACGAGAACAGTGTGGAGGTGAAGTTTACGGACGTAATTGTCCACTGTGGCTCGCAATTTTGAAGTTTATATTGCAGGCAAAATATGCTTACCTTTAAAACAACATAAAAACAACGTTGAATAGGATCAACAAAATAGGAGCCGTCTCGTATGGGCCAATAGGCCCTCTGCAGTTACCTTTGTTCTTATGTAAATCAATGTAAATTCAACGTTAAAATGTAGGCTCAGCTTAAAATTATTGTAGAGTCACCATTAAATCAAGGAAGGATTAACGTTAAATCCAATTAACCTTAAATCCGTCGTATTAACCACACTATTAACCCATAGTTATATAGTGTGGGTTAGTGTAAATAAATCTACACTATATAATTACTTTATATTAAAAACGTTTTTTATTATACTGCATAAAAGATTAATTCTGTCAGGAGGTTTATTACCTGTTGATGGTTTCGAGAGTCCTCGCGTACCCTGGCCTGTTGCTGCCTACCCTGCTGCCTACTTGGGCCAGGTTTCATCACGTATTTACGCATCCACTTACGAAACCTATACATCTTCCAACGAACATGGGGCCATTGTTTGCACTTATTAAGCAGTTTATGAGGTCC